CTTTTTTTATAATTGAGTCTGGTAGTGAGAGTGGATGTGATTTTTTGCAGGATATCGATTGGAAGAATTTGGACAAGCAAGTCAACCGTGCTTTACCGAGCTTAAAACGACAATGGGACAAACTAGCAGAGCGAGTTCGGAAAGATCCTGAATGGCGGAGGTTCCAGTGGCTGTCCGTAAAAACTAGTAAGAAATCTGGCTGTTGTTACTTTTTTACAATCCCTTTTTGGATGGTTATTGTAAATGTTTGTTAAAAACATGACGTTTTGGCAAAGTTCCCTTCCAACGGAAACATTAAAGTTCGGGTTGTTGAACAATTGGCTAATACTCTTTTAACAGCTGAAAAAATTTTATCTCAGGTGAAGTATCGACGACAGCCACCACGCCATCAAGAGCCTCGTCAACGCAAACGCCAACCAGCTTAGAGACCGAATTTAACTTTCAAGTGCAGGAAACCGAGGATGGTTTCAAGGCCGAACTTGGCCTTCGCCCTGGTGATTCGGTTCGCATACCACTTGGTCAAGGTTTGCGTGAAGTTCGTATCAAATTCGTCGGATTACGAGACGGCGACGAAAAGAAAATGAAGGGATGGAAGAAAAGTTGGCAGAAGCGGCTTTGTCGGGTTCTCTGCGATGTCTGTCAAGGAGATGGCTATTTGGACATGACCAAAATCAGCGACCGTTTCTTCAAACTTACAAAGACGGGAGACCGCTTCATTAAAGTTAAAGTAGATGCAGATGAGACGTTTGTTCGTAAATATCTTGAAGGTCATGAAATACGCTTTAAAGTAGAATTGCGAACCCGCGGGTCTCGCGTCATGGTTATCAATTACGGGATAATTCTCAGAAGTAGCAGGTACCGACGTTCTTTTTCTGATGAGTATTTTGCTATACCTCGTGAAGAGTTGCTCCCCAAGTACCGACAGCATAAACATGGCCAATGCATGACGGGTACAGGTCCCGTGGCCTGGGCGAAGATACTGGGTTACCTTGACAATGTGGCGAGGACTCATAACTCGAGTTACCAGTAAGTTTCTTTGTTTCACACCAAACTGGCATTTTTTTCTTTTATATGGGTAGCAATTCCAAGGTCTGTCATTCTAAAGTCAATTGTTCTTGAAATGGTTATGATATCCAAAAACACCCTCAACAAGTTGTTCCAAGCATGATTACGTTAATCCAAGTTATCTTCAACTTTAGATTTTTATATTTCATGGTAGGCTCAATTAACAGCGGCCTTCTCGGGTAGAATTTGATTTCAGCGAAGGCCTTCATTAAATACCCCTTTCCTTAAAAAAAAATGCATTTTTCCTTCGGATTTCCATATCACAAATAAAGTGAGCTCCTCGTCTAGAACACTAGCCTTTAGTCAGCCCACTTTGAAGGGTCAGTTTGCTTATTATTCATTTGAAATTTCTGACAAACCCTGAACGAATAAATGTACGAATACTCAAAACATATTGGTCGATGAATGTTATTTACTTTTTGAAGAGTAGCTTAAAAACACCATCTGTTTATATCCTGAAACCGTGCCGTGTAATAGAACGAAGTTTAGAGGAAAGTCGTCGAGGAACTAAGCTTGTTTAAGGTGATTCCATAGTAAAAGAACCTAACATAGATTTTAGCTAAAACTTGGTACACTGATGTAACAAGTCAAGAAGATGATAAAAAAGTAATAAAAAGTGGGGGTCACCGTGCTCGTTTTGACGTCACAATGCTGACAAATACGGCTATTTAGGACCCTTTTACAAAAACCGCGGGCANATATTCTTTTTGTTGCGGTAACTGTTGGCTGTAATAAAACAGAATCTAAGGTACTTATATTTTTTTCCTGTTACAGAGCCATAACTCGTCTGACAGGTTTGCCGTCGCCCTTACCACTAACTATGGACTCTTCAGTGGAGAACATGATACAGCGAGTCTTCCTCAGTCTTGGATCCCATTGCTCCCCACACGGTAGAGGAGTAACCTCTCCTGCTCATGTGGCGCAAATGAAGAAAGCCTTTCGGAACGCCCTGGGGCGAGAGCTTAAGGTGGTTCATCGGGGTAACCACGAGAAAGAGAGTGGTCCCTGGACAGAGTTTATAAGAGACCTTCTGAAAAAAGGTTTCCCTGTCATTGTCAGTAAAGAGACTAAGAATCTTAGTGAACACCATTATGTGGTAGTGACAAGAATCAAACAGACCGCCAAATACTACAGTTTTTGTAACGACAGAACCGATGTGTGTTCACCATGGACTTTACGGGAGGAATCCCTTCTGTTTGTTCACGAGGAGGACAAGCCTGGGAAATGGGAAAGCGCTGATGTACATTTTGTTGCTGCCATTATCGGCAAATAAAACAGTCGAAAGGGCTGAGTTATCAGTTCTAATGCTGAGAACGGCTTCAATTTTAGCCACAGCCACACATGAGTACGGAGGTCGCATTGAACTCTTGTGTGTCGCTTTTGGTTATTTACCCGAAATGTTTGACGAACTACTCAAACGCAATGGCAACTCGTCATAGCAAAACGCAAAACAAGTGGGAACTAGTTCTTTCCTGTTTTGACTGTTAAACAATAACTTCTATTTTTATACCTGTAGTCAAAGCTTCTTTCTTGTCCATTCATAACTGGTTAATTTTTTTCCCTTCATATTCGCCATTTGCACATCTCCCATAATACACCTTGTTTACCCCCCAAACTTTTGCATCAGCATTGTCTTCATTTGCTCTTGGGACGACTGTAATACCCAAGAGAAGTGTATTATGGGAGGTTTGCCAGTGGCGAATGGTGCATTCTTCAGCTGAAGCCAAAAGAGAGAATCACCTAGTTTTACAGCTACTGTATATAATGTAAAAAGTGTACCGGTTAGTTTTGTTTGTAGGTAAAAAGTCGTAATATATTGATAAGTTATTTGCCAGATGTCCCCGAGGTCTTCTTGAAAACTCTGAGGTAGTGGTGGCCTTTGACACAAGTGCTGAATATTATTTTTTTCTGGTATCTTTCTTCCGTGGTTTTAGGTATTAATAAATCTTCAATAAACGACTTTTTCAGGCAACTTTTATCGTAAAGAATCTATTATTGCGAATTTTTATCATCGCCGTATGAACGCCAATGTCAGAAATGTTTTTTTTATAAATGTCTAAAGTTTACTTTGTGAACATTGAACTGTAGACCACTTGGTCCTAACTTTCTTAACACTTACTTCATAAAGAGGTTACGAATGCCAATAAAGTAAGAAAAAGAAAAAACAGATTGAGTTTGTTCCAGGCAGTAAGTTCCTCTTCAAATAGGGGCAGGTAAACTTCTGGTGGACTATCTTTCCTTCATTTTTCCTTGATGCCCACCCTCTTCCTTTGAGAGGGGAATGGGAACGAGGCCGTTTGTGCTAATCACATTGGAACCTCCACGTGTTATAGTCAAAGCAATATAGTTGGAACCTCTTGCAAACGACTGCAGCCTCTTTTGTAGTGACAGTGTGGCAGTTACCATTGCTGCGAACTTCCCGTAGGGACCACTTGACACATGGTCTGAACCCCTACTGTTACAGACCAGCTTTAAACCCTAAGATCAAAATTTGAATTCTCATTTGTTGCCTCTAGTAATTTCCTACAGAAGTAGTAGGGAGACGTTGATAAAATATCAAGCAAATTTATCATGTGTGATTATGCCTGTAATTTTCATGACCACTCTGTTTTACGAAGTATTGGTATTACAAGGAGAAATTTGATGCTGATCACTCTTAGGGCTAAAAGGGTTAAAATTTACATACTTTTTGCCTTGTCCAAATCTTAGCTTTAAGTCACAATTACAGAAGAATTAAATGGCAAATAATCTAAGGTCATTTTTGCGTTGCTTTCGAGTTACCGGAGTGTTTTGTTTTGATAGACAGGCACGCATTAGGAAAAATCGAGTCACCATGGCAACGCAAAATGAAACATTTGTTTTACATTTTAGTCCATCCAATTCCCAGATTTCCTTTTCAAGGCTCGATTTTTAACGCTGCAAAGTTGATTCTGCAACTGCACTAGTTTCGGCAGTTTACTTTTACAGAAGCCTATTACCCTGACTTTTAACACCTGTTGTTTTTCAGGGATGCTTCCTCTCTTCGAAAGCATTCAACAGTATTACCCCGGCAACGCAGTCAAAGCACTATAGTTGGAAACGACTCCAGCCTCTTTTGGAGTGACAGTGTGGCAGTTATCATTGCAGCGAACCAACCGTAGGGACCAGTTGACACATGTTCTGAACCCCTACTGTTACAGACCCGCTTTGGTCGGACTCGTAAATGACCACTTTGCGTAAACTACCCCAAAAAACTTGGAGTTTTAGGTGGCACTTAGGGAGTTTCGACTGTATTCCTGTTCCTTAGAAATGCCTCCAATATTAGCCCCAGCCGGTAGTTTGTGTGACAAAGAGGAATATTTTGATGCCATCTGGTACTCTGCCAAAGTTTTAATGAAGCTGATATAAGTGATATTGGATATTTGCTAAAGAAAACTTGGCTTGACGCACGGTTGAAAAATAAATCATACTTAGGCTTTTATTTTAAGCTTTATTCAAATGAAATAGTGGCCAATTCAGATTTTAATTTTGAGAGTGTTTCCCTACTTAACTTTCCTAAATACGCTTTTTTTTTAGTTGCTGTAGCTTTTAACAATGGGACTGGAACTTGTTCTAGCGTTCACCCATAAGGGCTAACAACTTTTTTTATGGTGTTGAATACTTTCTTACTTGGACCAAATTCACATTTACCTTTGCTAAAAATCCTCCTCAAACAAAAATCATAAATGTCTTGATACTGAATGAAGCCACCCGTAAAGTAGACCGATGGGAACTTGCACGAAAACAAATTACCTATCCTAAATAATTGATGAATTTACACTCTTTACACGCCTTTTAGTGCCATTTGCAATTAGAGGGACGCAATGTTTGGCACGTTTGAGGAAGACTTTAGACTGCAGGGCCTGTAGGCAGTTCCTTGAATCGGCCAATCTCCCAGTTCTGCCGAACACTTAAAAATGAAGTCTCTGGTAGTAATTCTGATTGTAGCCTACATCCCGGTGGTATTCGCTAGTGAGTATGATCGCCTTATAGTGTTTTACTTGTTCACATTACTGTGATCTTTGTTTTTCGTTCCGTGTTGATCTTCTTAAGCAGGCAGGTAAGCAGGTTTTGTCGACGCAATGAGGCTAACGCTCCCTTATTCTCTTCTTTGTAAACAACGCTCCATTAGAGCACCCAGAAATCGTGTAATCCTACCATACTTTGATAGGATTATCAGTATTTTTGCCCTGTGGAACATGACACAGTGGTCAGGAAACCAGAAACTCTTCGTAGGGCTAGGGTGGTCGATAGCTCTTTTTCAAAAATTTAAAAACTGATGTTTGGAGCTGGGTGTTTCGGAGTATTGGGTTTCCAAAACATGGACGGGCCTCTGTACAGTTGAATAGTACAGTACCTTAGTATAACACTGCTTGGAACTCCTTTCCAAGAAGTCATGTCATTTTTTCCATTTAAATGATATGAGTGAGACATGTCTTGAAGCAATTTNAAACAACGCTCCATTAGAGCACCCAGAAATCGTGTAATCCTACCATACTTTGATAGGATTATCAGTATTTTTGCCCTGTGGAACATGACACAGTGGTCAGGAAACCAGAAACTCTTCGTAGGGCTAGGGTGGTCGATAGCTCTTTTTCAAAAATTTAAAAACTGATGTTTGGAGCTGGGTGTTTCGGAGTATTGGGTTTCCAAAACATGGACGGGCCTCTGTACAGTTGAATAGTACAGTACCTTAGTATAACACTGCTTGGAACTCCTTTCCAAGAAGTCATGTCATTTTTTCCATTTAAATGATATGAGTGAGACATGTCTTGAAGCAATTTATTCAGTTAATTAATTTGAATGCTCAAAACTACCCAGTTTTCTAACTTATTCCTCCCAGTTTACTATTGGAAGACACGATTCTAGTCAATTCTTTACCGCTTTTGTTCATGTTAACCCCTTTCGCAATGTAAACCAACAAGCCGGAATCTTACAAGGCTGTCTCTTGTCAATGTAAGACATCAAGCAAGCCGCCGCCCTGAAAAAACGACAATAAACGCCACCTGACCGGGGACTTGGTATTCAGTAGCATGCTACGGCGGCTTTGTAGTTAAAACTGATATTGATACTTAAAGATACCAATAGCAAACAGCTTTTTAAAAATGGAGTACTTTGCTTTCGCGAAACCAGAAGATCGCACCCGGTATGATAGCCAACCATATGTACTTTGGTAAGGCTAAACATTTAACTTAAATTATATGGCCACTTTGCAATTCTAAGATTATTTTTGCCTTGTTTTCGAGTTATCGGAGAGTTTTGTTCTGATAGACGGACACGGCTGAGGAAAAATCGGGTCGCCATGGCAATGCAAAATGAAACTTATTTGTTTTACATTTCAGTCCATCCAATTCCCAGATTTCCTCTTCCATGCTCAACCCTTAACGCTGCAAAAATGATTCTGCAACTTATTACATGAAGTAAATAAAAAGAATTTCGACTCTCTTCTGTTGTCATGGACCCTCACCCTATAACTGGATTGATGGAAAACGTTTAAAAAAGAAACTTGACGAAAGAAAATATTTGTTCTTCCTAAAAGCTTGGCTTTAAAGAATAACCAGCATACTTTAAAATATGTTTGATGGAAAGAAGTAAGCTAATTGAGAGTTCGTCACGCACTAAATTTAGTACGAACTGAGGAATCAAATTATCATCGACAGATGGTAAGCGCTAGATGTTGCAGGCAAGACACTGCACCAGTTTCGGCAGTTTACTTAAATAATTTAACACTTTTTTTTCAGGGATGCTTCCTCTCTTCGAAAATCTTCAACGGTATTACCCCGGCAACGTAGATTATGGAGGAGCGTACAGTGACTATGACGTGTTCAAGGCGGTCAATCTCTCCTCTCGCACTCACAACAACGACGCCTGTATACTGCGCATGAGCGTGGCACTTAACTTGAACCCAGGTCACCAAGTGCTTAAAAAGTACAACGGAAGTGCAAAGGGCAGTGGTGGCATATATTACTTCTATGACAGAAACGCGTTCTTGAACTACCTTGATTTGATGTATGGATATCCCCTGTGGTCGAATACTACTGAAGCGTTTAGGTACCAACAGGGAATAATGTTTGTTAATGTCACTGGTGAAGAGAAGTCGAAAGATGTTTGTAGCGTTCTGCTATGGAATGGCAAGAGTTTTCATCAAGGGAAAGGCCTTCTGCATCACTATCGTATTAATAAGGTGTATTTGTGGCCTGCTCAGACAGGTGAGCCCGGCTTGGAACAACTTTCTTTTGTTGCTTTACTCAATGTTTATGAAAGTAAGATCGAGTCGCTATGTAATTCTGCCTTGTACTTAGGTGTCCCTCCAACTATTTAACAAATAGAGTACTTTATAGGCAGCCAAATGTGAAGTGGTATCAGCCTATATTTGTTCTTTCCAGGTGGTTGTAAAATCGATGTAAATCTGAAGCAGAGTACATGTTTTCCATCCTCTTCTAAAGTTGAGCTCAAATCTGGAAAAAAGATTGCCATGAATGAGCTTGCAATTGGTGACTTGGTGAAAACTTATTCTAAGGATGGGGAGGTCCTGTTTAGTCCTGTAGTTACGTTTCTGGATCAAATGCCGAACTATAGAGGTAACGTTCACAAATCGTAGTCTTATCTTTGAGTTTTTAGAATTGCTTATCAACCCCGGCTTTTCGTTTTCATTTATCAGAAAGGCATACGTTCTGTTCATTTATACGGTACGTACGAGAGATGAAAAATGACCTTATTTACAATCCGCAAGAAATGACGTTAACTTTCCATTGTTTGGGCAGCATGACTAGAAATGAAAACTTTGTAAGTTATGGACGCAGTTGTTCTTTTCAAAGCTCCTCTAAGCCATAACCGTTCGCTTCTTTTACTTACCTACCTTGCCTATGATTTTGTAGGAGATTTCTACACAATCACGACCATCTTCAATGTTCAAGTAACCCTCAGCGAAGCTCACCTTGTTTTTACTACCTGTCCCCTGTCGGATGGGCGGCTCACAGATCACTCCACTCATGCGTCCAGAGTCAGACCCGGTGACTACATTCTGGTTAATACTCGATGGGGACTCATTCCCATGATGGTAGAGTCTGTTTCGGTAGCTGAAAGAAAGGGGGCTTTTGCGCCCGTTACCCAAGAAGGGACCATGGTTGTGGACGGCATTTGGGTGTCTTGTTATGCTGATATCGCTGATCATAACTTGGCCGATTCTTTAATGACACCTTTGAAGAGGTTTTACAGCTTGTCCCCTCATGTGCTAGGTACAGGAGGCAAGTACGTACACGGTTACTTGAAAGACAGTCTTCGTCATGTTGGTGTTAAGATCTTTGGAAAAGAGAAGTTCTATCAGCAGGGCCCAAAGGAGATAGTTTTGAGAGGGAAAGAGACATCCTTGGAGTCTCTCTTTATCAGGAAAGACAGAAATAAGTGACTTGTTTTAATGCCAACTATAGGAGGGGAGGAAAATCCTCATACTACGTTAACTTTCATGCCGGGTAGCGTACGACTCCGGCTTAGTTTCTGACACAGCATTGGTCTTTTTTAATTTTTTTTATATGTATATATACGTTGTTTAACTCTTGTTCAGAAACTAACAAAAATTGAGGAACAGGAAGTTTAAGTAGAGAGAAACAAACTCATAAACCTTAGTGATCAATCATGTTTTTTATTTGCCTTGTAAGAAATTATTTCAGCGTAATCAAGTGGCGTTTTAGTATGACATCATTTGTTTGACTACGACTGAGAATTTATTTCCTTTCTTGTTGAAATTCAGAAATCTCAGTGATGTTGAAATATCAAACACTCTAATTTGAAAAAATATGTATGTATTCAGTACTCTAACAGGCAGATACAAATAAAAAAAACCAATAGGCCATTTCCGAGTTGCCCAAAGCATCTGTCTCGACACGAGGTTAAGTACGAAGCCATTGAAATGAAAATGAACTTTATTCTCACGCAAATAAAACTCTTTTTCATGAGAAAGGTTTTACGTTCAGTCTCGTTTTAACCCTTTAAGCCCTAAGAGTGATCAGCGTCAAAGTTCTCCTTGTAATATCAATGCTTTGTAAAACAGAGTGGTCATGAGAATTACGGACATGATCACACAAGATGAATTTCCTTGATATTTCATCAACTTCTCTCCACTACTTCTGTAAGAAATGAATAGGGGCAACAAATGAGAATTCAAATTTTGATCTTAGGGTTTAAAGGGTTAAAAGTGAGAGTTTAAAGGGTTAAAAGTGAGATGGCCTATTGCAAAGTGCAGTGGGAAACATTCTTCTACGCTTAGAACAGACTGTAAATATTCCTAAGCTTTGTACACTCTTATTCAGGGTTATTGGACAGAGTTGCTTTTTGTTTTGTTTTGTTTTGTTTTGTTTTTTTTTGCTTCTAAGAGGATCAAGATAACTCTACTATGGAAGTAGCACCACGAAACGCTGAAAAACAATTCATTCAATAAAATACTCTTGAATAGCATGCCACTGCTCTATCTCGAGATGCGGTTTTTCCAGGACTTGTTCCCAGTGTCTATACTCGCTCTCCACATTAACACAATACCCAAGATGCACCGTGCCCAGATTAACTTCACGCACTTTCCCGCGGTGCTTCACTTTGAATATTAGTGTGACCTGAGGCAGTTTGTCTGTATGCATGTCAAACACAAAAACGTCTCCAAAATTCGGCGCCCGTGTGTTGTGCGCAACTTTGGTTGATCGCGTGCTCAGCTTTTTGCCACAGAAGGTTACATCAAGTTTAACAAATGGATCTGCAAATAGGAACAATCGACATTAGATAGCATGCATTATTTCAATTTCCCCGAAAGGTCACTCAAAGGAACTTTGGGTAGTGTTGGTCCGAAACGTTCAAATCGTGATCCTGTTTAAGACAAAAATCGTTCATATCGCTACCCTGTTAAACACAAGAGACCTTCTCTCTTTACGCTGATTCATCTCGTTTCACGAACAGAATCAAGTATTTTTTTTATTTTTGTAGTTTGGCACACAACACTTGCTGTGCGTCGTGTTTGTTGGCCTTCAAACGATCCCAAGAAGCTTCGTTTTCGCACGTCGTACCCAGTTTTTCACTCGTTTAGAACATGACGAATCAAGTAAAAATCAATTCAAGAAAGGGATTCACACAGTTCTTAAGTATATACAGAGGATTGAAACGGTCTCTTTCTGATACCAAACATCAGTACCAAACTTCATTCAGTTACCTTCTTAGTCATTTTTTAAGAGGTACTTACTAAGCCGTCCGGTTAACGGTTGTAACGACCTTGCGCAGTTGATTTTCACAGTAAGTTTTTGGTCAGTTGGATTGTGGCACAGGGAAATCAACAGGTCACCGAGTCCTGCGGACGTATCCGGTAGATCATCCTACAAAGAAAGTAACGAATCAGCCACAATTTTTTTATAGTCTACACTCCTAGAGATGATCATGAAAAGCGACAATAGAGACCTTTAGATTCAAGGACGCGAACGACTAGGAGTACGAGATTTGACTTCAAGTTTTTTCGCGTCTTCTCAAAATATAGACTCCCCGGCCGGAAAGCTTCATTTTACCATTTTTCACTAGAAAAGTTAGCGCTGTTACCTTTAGTGAAGGAGGCTGCACCCTCTCCTGATCGCAAAATGATAAAACTTTTAACATTTGATAACTTGTTTCCGCTACTTCGACATTCTCGCTAAAACTCTCAGAATAGAGTGACGACGGCTACCACGTTTTCCTACCAACGCTGGTTCACGCGCGAGCACTACTTAGTACTGAGAAAATCTCGTACTCGTAGTCGTACTCGTCTTAGAATCTAAAGGTCTCTATTATAGTAATAGCATCTGGAAAGGGGGAGAGCCCTGATTCCTCATTCCCGCTGCTTTTTCACGAGAATCCCGTATTCCGCCCGAACTTCTTACATCGCTATGCCGAATATCATTTTCTTTCCCAATCTGCATCCTTCCCCAATTTTTGGCGCATCTCGCCTCCGGGGTAGTTGTCAAATCCCGTAAATTAGCGAACAATTCTTGCAAGGACCACTTGGACAAACAGCAGCGAGGGAAAGCCGGATTTTGTCGTAGATCAGGATCAGCAGTATAAAATAACACTTAAAATTGAAGGCAAGGCTGATCAGACTGCTAAGGGTTACAAATTTATTTGCCCAATATTTCGACTAGACAGAACTAGTCTTCAGGGGCTAGCAATTGTCGTAGATCAGGATCAGCAGTATAAAATAACACTTAAAATTGAAGGCAAGGCTGATCAGACTGCTAAGGGTTACAAATTTATTTGCCCAATATTTCGACTAGACAGAACTAGTCTTCAGGGGCTAGCAAAGCTAATCCGGTATCCCGTCAACGTAATCCCGAATCCCACACTGTATTTTGGTCAATTCAGGGAATACCCCTCCAGACCCTGTATTCATAGCTAGTAATTCGCTGGAAGCACGAGTCAGAGACAAGTGGTTTTGCTACAGGCAAGAAATCTGATGCGCAAAAGTTTAGGGGATAACCGTGGGAAAAGAGGTAGTAATTCCGCGTATTCCTCGCGACAATAGTTCTTGGCCTATTAAGGTACGCGTTTTTAAACCCGTCCCATCATTAACAATGGCTCTTGCCTTTATTTTTAAGAGAGGAATCACACTAATCCCGAGTGTCGTCAGATGCATAAAGGAATACTCAAGAGGTACAGAATTTTTAAATCGCTTTTAGGGTCGTACAAAGGCCTGACAGCCATGTTTCCATGCGTATGCTGGTGAGTCTCCTAACTGGGGACGCATGGCTGCCACTGCCATATGCAAAATCAGGATAATATCAGTTTCAGGCCCGAGGAACAATCAAACCATTCTCGTCAGATTCCCAGGGCGCAAAGCTTTTGAAATACAGCCTCGCGTACTTTTGATTAAAAAGAGAGAAAGAAAGAAAGAAACTCACAAGACAAGTAGCATAGAGGTTTTTGTGACTTCCCCTCCTCGGGGATCGTTTGCATTGAAAGTAATGACTATATCCTTCCTCGTTCGTTCACATTGTTTTGTTGAACGTGTCGGAATTGTAAGAGGCAGTAATGCCTTTACACTTGCGGTAAGTAATGCCACTTTATTTGGTCTCGTAGAAAAAACAACAACCGGTATGTCATTGTTGAGATTCAAAACATCACGCATACAGTATCGCACTTTTTCAATACCAGTCAAGTTTTTTGGTGGAGTGCATAGTGACGACACTGCTTACCGCTTATTCCGCTTTCTCAAGGGCCGCCGATCTGTGTGTTTTAGCGCATGATGGGAATGTGTTTGTTGCTAACTTTTTGTTGCTGCTGCGTGCTGTGTTCTCTTAACCGCATTTGCCATGCAGAGAAATAAAAGCGTTAGAGACTTCTTGTCAGGTCGTGTTTTACCAGAAACTAAAATAAGCGCACTTACTGTCTGTAAAATCAATTTTACAAACAAGGCGGATTCAAGTAGAATTGCTAGTTCATTCCACCGACAGCCAGAGCTTGTTTCATCTGCCGGTAAAACGGCACCCACGTGATTAGTCCAAAAATTCTAGTCTCCTTGTTGTCTCAAACATCAAAAAATGTATCAATATAGGTGCATATTCTTTTTTGAAAGTCTAATTATGGACGAAGCCAACATTTTTAAAAAACCATTGCGGCTTTCCGTAGGCTTTCCATATCCGCTGAAGGGTTGTTTAAGTCTTTCAATAAATTACGAAAAGGAAAATGCAATACTGTACTATTGAGCTTGCAACCAGAAGTGGTTAACGTTTACGAACGAGTTTGAGTACCACAGCTTCGTACCCAAGGTAAACAGGGAAGAAAGCATGCACTAATATTCCTGTTTTGATGCAGGCTTGTAGGGTTTCGCGCCCTAGCTTAGCTTTCCCATTAACTGAAAATATAATCGAAAAGGATAATGAAAAAAGAAAACAGTAATTGATTTCTAAAGAAACTGTGATGATGCGTGACGCTTTCGAAAGGCCAGCGATCTAGACGTCTAAGCTTTTTTGAAAATATTTATAGTTGTAAATTTTAATACTTATTAACGTATCTTTTGATAAAGAAAGGATTAAAAATATGGATATTGTTTTATAAACTGAAATCCTCGACGAACTTCATTTTTCAGATCCAGATACAATAGAACCGATGCTCTGCGTCGTTCTGGAAGGAAGGCTACCTGACGGTATTTAGATTAGATGCAATTTAATTTTCTAGAACGGAGAAATTAATTCACTGTTAATGCGTCATGATTTTAATGCTTCTGACGCAACCGGTTTGTCTCATACTACGTTTCAAAGCGTTCATTCAATTGTAATATAATAACGTGTATTCCTACAGTTCCAATATCCTTTAAAAATTCCATTTTTCAAAATGGACTGACATGAGTACTAAAAGTGTCTATCAGCAACGTTTCAGCGAGGTCTACAAGTGATCATCAGTAGCCAA